GGGGGGGGGGGGGGGGGGAAGGAAGCAAAAGAAACAGAAGAAAACCCACAAAACTGCACTGAAAAGTCTCTGAGCACAGCAAAGCCGGTGCGTGGCATGTCCTTAGGTATTTAACAGCATTCAGGGGTGTCTTCTCCCTCCTCACGCCTACCATTCAATCTGCTTTTTTATTAAATTCGGTGGAAACACACTTGGTGCCTTCCTCCCCGAGCACATCCTCGCAGCAGAGCCGGCACCAGGCTCGAGTGGTTGCGCAGGCTGGTGGGACTGAGCACCAAGAGCTGTTTCCTTACGTGAAGAGGCCTTTCAAATGGCATCACTCTTCTCTAAGGTTGTCGCTTTCCTCCCAAAGAGCAAAGCACAGGCCGGGGGGAAATTGATGGGAGTTTCACAGTTGGTTTCACTGAGATGAAGATTTAACTTCAGGGGCTGGACCTGGAGCCTCTGGAAAGGATGTGCCTTCAAACGTGGCAGCCAAATGAAAGAGCTCTGCTTGACACAGGTCCCTGGTTACTCTTTGGGGCAGGGAACACCAGTGTCGGGCTGCTGGGGACTTTATCCAGGGGCAAACTGGTGTGAGCTCTTGTGTGGGTCTGAGACTTGGGGTTGTGGTCTTGGCTGGAGCCCCAGGGGCTGAAGAAGCCCCAGCCCCAGTCCCGCACCAGGTGCTGCACCACCAGAGAGGTCCTCCAGGCTGAGCACCCCAAAGCATGTCCAGCCAAGAAATCCCAGCTGGGAGCCGCAGCAGCCCAACTCCCTGTACCCTGTTTCGGTAGGGTCTACCGGAGCAACGCACAGGCGCAGGCATCTTCATCCCAGCAGAGGACTTACCCCAGCACCCAGAACTCTGTCCTCCAGGAGGGCTGTTAAGTCCTGACCACTGACCCATGGAGAGGCCCCAGGAGTGGCAGCGAGGGCTGGGGGCACCTACTCGTTCCCCCTGCTCCTGTGGGGAGTTTACAGTCTCTGGAGGTACGGGGTGAGAAGCCACCTCAGCACACCTTCAGGCAATACCTCAGCAATACCACAGGTAAAACCTTCTCTTTCTTTCTTTCTCTTTAAGGCTATGTAATTTCTCTGTTATGTCTGAGATTTTGCTCCAGGTCAAAATGCAGTTACATGGCTTTTAATTGATTTTTTGCAATGCTTTCAACTTGAGGTTTCTTTTATTTTAACCACTCCTTGTCTTTTAAGCCAAAAGAGGTAGCAGATGACATTAATCACAACACTCCTGAACCAAGAGCTTGCTGTGACTACTTTAATGTCGTCTGGGCTTTTTCAAATCCTGCTTTGAGGTTCTCATTTAGTGAGGTCCTGGAGCACACACTTCACTTTAATTGGGTGCTCCAAGTCAGACGTGCACTTACAAGCACAGTTGAATGAGGAACTAAATTATTATTATTATCAGCTCTGGAGCCCTGACACGAGTGGTCAGGGCTGTGGTGTGCCCAGCGCCGTCGGAGGCACAGGGTGGAGAGAAAGTCCTGGAGCCTCCAGCAAGGCAAGAGGAGCTGGATGGAGAGGCACCACCTACACGAAGTAGAGCATCTCAGCAACGGTGGGCTGCCTTCCCCTTGAGCTAGCAGGTGGAAATACAGACTGTTGACCAAGCCTTGGCATTGCTTATCCGTAGCCCAGAAGAAAACCATACTGCCTTTCCTAAAAATACCACTCCTTGGTATTTTTTAACCTGGAGGAGCCTGGGGAGCATGCTCACAGCATGGCCCCGTGAACACCATTGCAGGGAGCCACATGCGGCACCGTGAAGCGGCATCCTTGGGGCCACACCGTCTTCAGCAAGGCAGCCCACAGACACGTCACCGGGCGGTCGGCGTCCTTCTCCATACGCCTGCAATGTTGCATGTACAGCCTGAGCACTGTAATTACTCAATAAATAATAACGCTAACAAGATAATGGCACACAAACCTTTCTGTAGGATCTTGTTTGATTTTCAGTGTTAGTTGGGTGTGGGAGAAAATCCAGTATGTTAAATTAACATTTTGGGTGTAAATCAAATTAAATGTACAAAATGCCCTGTAGGGTCAAAGCACAATGGGACCCACCCTTACAGATTTGACTACAGAAATGTGTTTCATTTGACTCGAATCATTTGGGAGTGAGGAGGGAGAGATTGGATCAAACAATGAATCAGCCATGTGTCCCTGTCGCAATCGCACCCCGCTCCTTCCCAAACTAACCCCGGGTGGGGGGTGAATCGATGGCCACGTGTGCGTGGGGCAGGGGGGCTCATCCCTTCTGGAGGACTCCCTTTCGCTGCCAGCCTCGCCCCAGTTGATACAGAATCTAGGAAGGAGTGGGGAATGCATGCCTGGGGGAAAGGATCTGGGTGTAGGGAGTGAGGGAAGGAGCTGGACTTGAGAGGAGATGAGCAGAGGGAGAGATGCTTGGTAAAGATATAAGCAAAGGCACATGTCTGCTGCGCAGGGGACGACAACTCAATTTTATCCGTGAACAGGGAGTATTTCAGTTGTGATGCCGAGGAGCTGTGTCCTTTCTTCTTTTTGCCTGGGCTAATTTTCAGCATGATCAGCACCATGAGGCTGCAGAAGCAGGTGTGGGACTGCATGGTGGAGGGACACAGCCTGGGCAGGGACAAGGGTTTGCTCGTATAGTCAGGCAGCACTGAACACCACTGAAAGGCACAGTCCCTTGGCGATGCCATGGCAATGTCTTTGAGCTGGTCCTTTACCGCAGCATCCAGCAAAAGGGACCTTCACATTCAGCCCTCAGTGGGATCTTGCCCCCAACTGTCACCCCTCCTATGCAGAAGTGGAGGTCCACCAGCAGGTACACCCCCAGGGGCTGCACTGGGGATGCTCTGCCACGAGGCTGAGAGCACCATCACCCAGTGCCCCTTTTCTGGTGATTTCTCATGATTTTGAGCCAAACCAGGCTGCCAGGAGATGAGATCCTGGCTGGTACAGGAGCCTGGCAATGCAACAGCACAGCCTTTGATCCCTGGCTCCCAGCATAGCTCAGATGGGGCGATTTATGCAAATTTACTGACCATGCAAGAGAGGCCACAGCTTCATATCCCTGGGAAGACAAACCTTCATCTTCTGGGGTCTGTGGTGTGCCTGAAACACCAGGGCTGCTGCAAGTCACCCAAACACCCAGCTGGCACCTCTTCAGCTGGTGAACCCCCACGCTGCTCCCAGAGACATTTTAGGAGAGAAGGGGAGGAGACTGGGTGCCAAAACATTGCCCAATCCTCTGCAAGAGGCATCCCGGTGTGACACCCTTTCCTAGAAACGCTCCATGTTTCCCCACGTGAGGTGGGAAGGTGTGAGAAACAACTTGTAAAAACAGGTCCTGAAAGAAACGGGCCTAAGTCACTTGTTTCCCTCATCTGAGTGGGACGTGACAGGCCATGAGCATGGAGCTTGGACCAGCACCCAGGAATGGGTGCCACGAGGCCACGGGGAGTCCCAGGCTCACATCCCAGCCATGTTACAGGGAGAGAGCATGCGGAAGGAAGACGCTCCCTTTGCAGCCAAGGCAGGATGAGAACCAAGGGAAGGCATCTCCTCTGCAGCTTTTCCCAACCTGCTGCCTCCCTGGATTATCCAGTGGAGGTCCAGCATGCCATAAAGTTTTCCCAGAAGGGTCACAAGGACCTCTGAGGACCACAGCTCAAAAGCCTGAAGAAGATCACAGAGGAAAGGTCTCCCTGCACTAAAAGAAACCCTTGCCTGGGGCACACACTGTTTCCAGCCCCAACTTTCCTTCCACCTGGATGTCTGCCCTTGGTCTCGCAGCTCAGCATCTGCCTGTGAAGAGCTGATGTGCTCTCAGGGGATGCTCCCCCGACCCTGTCCTGCTCCCCATCGCACACCTGCAGCACCAGGGGTGACTCAGCTGGGTTTCAGCCGCCGCCTGCGTGCACACACCATGCCGGGGGGGGGG